AGAAACTTTTATTTGTTGCACTGCTGATGACGTCACGTACGTGCTTTGATCGGGCGCGCTTTAGTGGACCGTGGTTTTGACGGGTCACGGTCCTGTCCACCATTAAACCATCTTTCCAAGCAGCCTCCATGTCTCCAGTGTGTCTTTCCCCACTTGGAACTGAACCCAGAAGGACATTTTCTCTCCAGGCTAGCCCACAAACAAAAGTTTCTTCTTCTTCTTGATCCTGGGGGATAGGTTTCTTACATTCTGCTACTTCCTCATAGCAGGTGAAACGTGCTTACAGGAGAAATATGCTGAAATCTACATATACCACCTGTTTCATTGGCAGCAAGAAGCGGATCCCAGCAAATATGAGAAGCGGAACTTAATTTTGTTGTACCAAAGGCAGAACACAATAACCGAGAGGTGTGACATAGTTTGACAACTTGCCTTTATTTGCCTCTACAACTATCCCTTCCAATTCACATGACTCACCTACTGTAGGTAGAGTGGATTACCCTGGGAAAGATCGTTTTCTATAAGAGGAAGCGGGGGGGGGGGGAAGAAAGAGAAACAGAAACCAAGTACGAACTGAAACCCTTCCTGCTTCTGCCCGGTTATATTTCTAGACCGCTGAACATCCATACAGAAGCTCCTTACAGTTTTAATTGTCAGCTACAAGTATTCTCCATGGCCCTATTCAATAACCCTGATGAAAGCTTCCATTTACGTACAAATTAAAAACAAAATGAATCTCGGCAGCCTGTTAGTTGCCACAATCAATAAATTGGCATATTCGAGCACAGCACAGTATTATCAGCATATCCGTTTCTGCATCCATTCGAAGTAGCCCCTTTCAAACACGGCCAGAGGCTCCGATCACAACGTATTTGCATCTATTAACAATCCATCTGCTCGCACATAGGTATAAGCAGATATACATAGTCTTGCCACAATTCCAGCAGCTGGGGAGTCAACTGAAGGTTTCTTAACATGGCATTACCTGAGAGTGTGGCTTTGCAAACAGCTGGCTGGCCGCCCAAGGGAGATCTCCTAAGGGGGCAAAAAATAGGGAAACGTTCAGCATCTTCTTTACTGCACAAAATATAAAAGGAGATAAGCATCTTCTTCTGCTCACCCTCTTCAACAAGATCACACTTTAATATGCTTGCAGGTATCTATGATTTGTTTTTTATTTGTTAAATTTATTAGCCACCCATCTCACTATGGGGCTACTCTGCGGAGTATATTACATACCACAGCACCAAGTTTGTGTTCTAGAAATTATTGATATAAGGTGGAAATATAGGGGTCTTTAAACCGTGACCCGTCAAAACCGCGGTCCACTAAAGCGCGCCCGATCAAAGCGCGTACGTGACGGCATCGGCAGCGCG